CCACACACTTACATGTACCCATCAACCACAAACCTCCACACACTTACATGTACCCATCAACCACAAACCTTCACACACTTACATGTACCCTTCAACCACACACTTACATGTACCCATCAACCACAAACCTCCACACACTTACATGTACTCATCAACCACAAACCTCTATACACTTACATGTACCCATCAACCACACACTTACATGTACCCATCAACCACAAACCTCTACACACTTACATGTATCCATCAACCACAAACCTTTCCATCAACCACAAACCTCCACACACTTACATGTACCCATCAACCACAAACCTGTACACACAACTTACAAACCTCACCACACACTTACATGTACCCATCAACCACAAACCTCCACACACTTACATGTACCCATCAACCACAAACCTCCACACACTTACATGTACACATCAACCACAAACCTCCACACACTTACATGTACCCATCAACCACAAACCTCCACACACTTACATGTACCCATCAACCACAAACCTCCACACACTTACATGTACCCATCAACCACAAACCTCCACACACTTACATGTACCCATCAACCACAAACCTCCACACACTTACATGTACCCATCAACCACAAACCTCCACACACTTACATGTACCCATCAACCACAAACCTCCACACACTTACATGTACCCATCAACCACAAACCTCCACACACTTACATGTACACATCAACCACAAACCTCCACACACTTACATGTACCCATCAACCACAAACCTCCACACACTTACATGTACCCATCAACCACAAACCTCCACACACTTACATGTACCCATCAACCACAAACCTCCACACACTTACATGTACCCATCAACCACAAACCTCCACACACTTACATGTACCCATCAACCACAAACCTCCACACACTTACATGTACCCATCAACCACAAACCTCCACACACTTACATGTACCCATCAACCACAAACCTCACACACTACATGTACACATCAACCACAAACCTCCACACACTTCATCAACCACAAACCTCCACACACTTACATGTACCCATCAACCACAAACCTCCACACACTTACATGTACCCATCAACCACAAACCTCCACACACTTACATGTACTCATCAACCACAAACCTCTACACACTTACTCTACACACTTACATGTACCCATCAACCACAAACCTCCACACACTTACATGTACCCATCAACCACAAACCTCCACACACTTACATGTACCCATCAACCACACACCTCCACACACTTACATGTACCCATCAACCACAAACCTCCACACACTTACATGTACCCATCAACCACAAACCTCCACACACTTACATGTACCCATCAACCACAAACCTCCACACACTTACATGTACCCATCAACCACAAACCTCCACACACTTACATGTACCCATCAACCACAACACACACCTCCACACACTTACATGTACCCATCAACCACAAACCTCCACACACTTACATGTACCCATCAACCACAAACCTCCACACACTTACATGTACCCATCAACCACAAACCTCCACACACTTACATGTACCCATCAACCACAAACCTCCACACACTTACATGTACCCATCAACCACAAACCTCCACACACTTACATGTACCCATCAACCACAAACCTCCACACACTTACATGTACCCATCAACCACAAACCTCCACACACTTACATGTACCCATCAACCACAAACCTCCACACACTTACATGTACACACATCAACCACTCCACACACACATGTACCCATCAACCACAAACCTCCACACACTTACATGTACCCATCAACCACAAACCTCCACACACTTACATGTACCCATCAACCACAAACCTCCACACACTTACATGTACCCATCAACCACAAACCTCCACACACTTACATGTACCCATCAACCACAAACCTCCACACACTTACATGTACCCATCAACCACAAACCTCCACACACTTACATGTACTCATCAACCACAAACCTCTACACACTTACATGTACCCATCAACCACACACTTACATGTACCCATCAACCACAAACCTCCACACACTTACATGTACCCATCAACCACAAACCTCCACACACTTACATGTACCCATCAACCACAAACCTCCACACACTTACATGTACCCATCAACCACAAACCTCCACACACTTACATGTACCCATCAACCACAAACCTCCACACACTTACATGTACCCATCAACCACAAACCTGTACCCATCAACCACAAACCTCCACACACTTACATGTACTCATCAACCACAAACCTCCACACACTTACATGTACCCATCAACCACAAACCTCCACACACTTACATGTACCCATCAACCACAAACCTCCACACACTTACATGTACCCATCAACCACAAAAACCTCCACACACTTACATGTACCCATCAACCACAAACCTCCACACACTTACATGTACCCAACAACCACAAACCTCCACACACTTACATGTACCCATCAACCACAAAAACCTCCACACACTTACATGTACCCATCAACCACAAACCTCCACACACTTACATGTACCCATCAACCACAAACCTCCACACACTTACATGTACCCATCAACCACAAACCTCCACACACTTACATGTACCCATCAACCACAAACCTCCACACACTTACATGTACCCATCAACCACAAACCTCCACACACTTACATGTACCCATCAACCACAAACCTCCACACACTTACATGTACCCATCAACCACAAACCTCCACACACTTACATGTACCCATCAACCACAAACCTCCACACACTTACATGTACCCATCAACCACAAACCTCCACACACTTACATGTACCCATCAACCACAAACCTCCACACACTTACATGTACCCATCAACCACAAACCTCCACACACTTACATGTACCCATCAACCACAAACCTCCACACACTTACATGTACCCATCAACCACAAACCTCCACACACTTACATGTACCCATCAACCACAAACCTCCACACACTTACATGTACACATCAACCACAAACCTCAACAAACTTACATGTACCCATCAACCACAAACCTCCACACACTTACATGTACCCATCAACCACAAACCTCCACACACTTACATGTACCCATCAACCACAAACCTCCACACACTTACATGTACCCATCAACCACAAACCTCCACACACTTACATGTACCCATCAACCACACACTTACATGTACCCATCAACCACAAACCTCCACACACTTACATGTACCCATCAACCACAAACCTACACACACTTACATGTACCCATCAACCACAAACCTCCACACACTTACATGTACCCATCAACCACAAACCTCCACACACTTACATGTACCCATCAACCACAAACCTCCACACACTTACATGTACCCATCAACCACAAACCTCCACACACTTACATGTACCCATCAACCACAAACCTCCACACACTTACATGTACCCATCAACCACAAACCTCCACACACTTACATGTACCCATCAACCACACAACATGTACACACACTTACATGTACCCATCAACCACAAACCTCCACACACTTACATGTACCCATCAACCACAAACCTCCACACACTTACATGTACCCATCAACCACAAACCTCCACACACTTACATGTACCCATCAACCACAAACCTCCACACACTTACATGTACCCATCAACCACAAACCTCCACACACTTACATGTACCCATCAACCACAAACCTCCACACACTTACATGTACCCATCAACCACAAACCTCCACACACTTACATGTACCCATCAACCACAAACCTCCACACACTTACATGTACCCATCAACCACAAACCTCCACACACTTACATGTACCCATCAACCACAAACCTCCACACACTTACATGTACCCATCAACCACAAACCTCCACACACTTACATGTACCCATCAACCACAAACCTCCACACACTTACATGTACCCATCAACCACAAACCTCCACACACTTACATGTACATCAACCACAAACCTCCACACACTTACATGTACCCATCAACCACAAACCTCCACACACTTACATGTACCCATCAACCACAAACCTCCACACACTTACATGTACCCATACCACAAATCACACACACCTTTTACAAACCTCCACACACTTACATGTACCCATCAACCACAAACCTCCACACACACATGTACCCATACATGTACCCACCACAAACCTCACACACAAACCTCCACACACTTACATGTACCCATCAACCCATCACACCACAAACCTCCACACACTTACATGTACCCATCAACCACAAACCTCCACACACTTACATGTACCCATCAACCACAAACCTCCACACACTTACATGTACCCATCAACCACAAACCTCCACACACTTACATGTACACCATCAACCACAAACCTCTAACCACACACTTACATGTGATAATGTACCCATGATAGCAATATAAAGCCTCCACACACTCATAAGAAATGGCCAGAAATCCTTGAGGGCTTATTACTAATGGCTGCAGGTTGTTGGTTTTTCTCTTGAAACTTTGATCACCCTTAACCACCCAAACCTGACACATCCTCAAATGACCCTGGCTGTTTCGCAGGATGCGAAGCAACAATGAATCAAACCAACCCTGGGCTTATTACAGGATATATGTATACCTGAAAAAAAAAGCTGTTGGCTGCAGAAGTATTTTAACTCACCAGCATGATGTTAAGACATAAAACATTCAAAAACAGCAGTAAATTAATCATAATCTGGCTATTCCTAGCTGAAGACAACCATTTCAAACACAACATTGATTTAGTTTTTCAAAATTTCAAGCAGAAATACTAATTGAATATTTGAATATTTTTCAATAATTTCTAAGCTTTTTTGTTTCTAACCTCATCTGAACATCTGAAGTTTTTCAATATTCACAAAATCTAGTGCAGATTCAATAGGTTTTTACTTCTAGCTATGATGAACAAATCTGCCAGATTACCAAGAATTTACTAGCATTAATAACAAAACCAATCTGAACTTACCATCAGTAGTCTTGACCTTTGGGTCTTCAGATTCAGCCTCCTCTTCACTTTCGTCATCAACCTCATCCTCGATGGGTTCACTCTCTGTGACCACTTCCTTCGTTGCGCCTTCAGGTGTGTCATTACTTGTCATCCCTTTCTCTTCAACAGATGTGGAATCTTCTTTGTCTGACATAGCTGGTGATGGGGTCTTTCCTTTATCTTTAGATTTCTTTCGTTTACGAGATTTTTTTCTTGCCAATTTTTGTTTCTCCTTCATTTTTGCTCTGTGTGCATGTGCCACTTTAAGTAGATAATAGAATCAAACAGTTAATCAACTTGTGAATAATAAGATTTTATCTTTTCTTCATATATATATATACAACTTTACACGCCTTAAGGCCAACTCTGTATAAAGGTCACTTGTTTAAGTTCCTAATGTTATACAGTTTTTGGTGATCAAACTTGCAAACAAAGGCCACCTGTCTATAAAGATCTCTTTGTTTTATTTACATATGTAATGTTTGATGATGAATGAACCTCTGCATAAAGGTCACCTGTCTACAAAAGTCCCTTGTTAAGTTAATGATGCAATACAATTCATGGTGACTTCAACCTCTGCATAAAGGTCACCTGTCTATAAAGACATCTTGTTAAGTTAATTTGATGCAATACAGTTGTTTTGGTTTCCGTTGTAATACATTGCATCATAATTCAACCTGTATATACAGGCCACTTTCCTCTGATCTTATCAATGTCCTATATAGACAGGTTTGACACCTAACAGTACTAAACGATTAGATAGCTGTACCCAGACTAGATCTATACGTACTTAGCGGCCAATTGGCTTCCCAGTCTTTTGGACGTAGACTGACAAAATGTGACTCCCCAACGTGTCCCAGAGTGAGAATATCATTCTCTGACGATTCCTGATACGTTGGAACCAAAACAGTTTTGTTGGTGTTTTGTTTGAAAACAACGATGCGATGTCCGGTAACCTGTAATTAAATAACTCAATATAACCTCAGTTACAGATGGCTGTCTCACCGGTCTTAATTAACAGTACATCATGCACTTGTAACTCTTCAGTGCAATTTTTTTTTTACAGAAATCTACAACTCAACATAAAATAACAATGTGTAGTGTATCACTCGAGTTTTACATACAAAGTGTATAGGCTTCTACAGTTCAGAGGACTCTGTCTGGTCTAGGACTTTATGGCCCCTAGAAAGACCATTTTTTTTTAAAAATCCACTATAAAACTACCCAATCAAATTTAGAATATTTCCCTGATACCTTTGTAATGTCACTTAAGTCAATTGTTGTTACAGCTTTGGTTGTCATGGTAGCTTCAAATTTGCATGAATTAGGAAAACATGAATATTTGTGGTGGGTGTATTCTTGAACAAATTTTCAATTCATCCTTAGGATGTAGTAATCAAGCCCTTGCATATTTTCATCTGACATTCCCTTTGTTCAAGAATTAAATCTACAGTTTGTCAGCAAAACCTGACAAACTTTATTTGAGAGTTTAGTAGTACATTTTAACTCATGAATTTAGGGGCCATAAAACATAGTCCTTTACCAAGCTAATTGCTTCTGTGATTTTTTTTTTAAACATATAACAAGTTTGTAGTAAAGTACCTGAGTGATCCCACTGTATTTTATCTCTCTAAATATTTACTGCATGTAACCTCTTTGTACTTATAAATATTTGTATATGTATATCCATAATCATGTGTAACTCCTCTGTACTTTACCTTAATAAATATATATGAAGGTATCTATTATCATTTGTAACCCCTCTGTACTTTACATTAATAAATATATGTAGGTATCTAATACCATGTGTAACCCTTCTAGACAGTAATGTTGCAATATCGTGTACTTATTGTGATCTGTGTTATATTTTATATAAGTAGTTTGCAATTCGTTTTCTCTGTGTAAGATGTTGTAACCATCATTCATGGTGTATTAGCCTACGTTAATGCACGATGCATGTTGGGTGTTGTTTTATTTACTGAAAATAACAAGTATTCGAACTATATAATTTGTGTTAATGAAAGTAAAATGAGATCAAAAAAATATATTATTTCGCTTCCATTGTCAGTGTCTAATAGTGTGTGAGCAGTATGTATGTGTTGTGAGAGATATGTTAAGTTCAGTAGAGCTGTATACTTCAGAATGTTTCTTTTAAATCCTTTGACCAAATAAATGTGAAGCATGAACCCAGCAGCTTTGTCATCACTAGACAACTCTAACCCGCTACATAGGTGTAACGCCTCTGTACTTTACCTCAATAAATATTTGTAGATATCTTTAATGTGTAACACCACTGAACTTTACCTCAATAAATACTTTTAGATATATTTTATATGTAACACCTCTGTACTTTACCTCAATAAATACTTATAGATATATTTTATATGTAACACCTCTGTACTTTACCTTAATAAATATTTGTAGATATTTTTTATGTGTAACACCTCTGTACTTTACCTTAATAAATATTTGTAGATATTTTTTTGTGTAACACCTCTGTTTTTTACCTCTGTACAGGCCTGTAGTACCATATGATCCCCCCACTGTGATTCTTGTCCCATACGTTTGAGATATTCATCCCAAGTCTCTGTGGACAGGAATGACTCTAGATGAGTTCCATCTTGGTTCTTAGGGTTTTCTTTTAGGTAGCTGAAAAACATTTTTTTACAATTTCAATTTTCAAACATTATCTTACAATTATTTCAAACAAAACGAGAGATTCAAGAGTGATCTAGGAAACCACTTTTTTTTTGTCTTTATTTGTTCTTTAAAAGTTGGGTTTTTCCCTTCTTTTAATTACGCTCATCTGTTTTTGCTCTTAATTAATGAAATTTGAGAATTACTGTACGAACTAGGGATAACATTATTATTTCACTACTATATCCAAGATGGTTGCCTGTTAGCCATCTTGCTTTTCTGATCAAGATCAAAATCAAACAATCACCAGGGACCATGGGAAAACTACACTACATATGAGATCAGGAAAAAAAAATCCAGTACTTTTCACGAAATAGCAGTATAAATTATAAAAGACAAAATATAAGATTTGCCAATTTACCTCTGACATATTCTGATAGGAATCAAACTCCAGCATGAGAATACATGCCTACACCAAATGAGCTAGAGAAGCAGGCTCCATCAACTGAGTGACAGAGACAGTTTAGAACTCCTGTCATAGCAGCCAGGATTTCTCTACAGACTAGTTTCAGCCTTTTATAAAGTGAACTGACAGCTAGTCCATAAGCTTTATTATTTATTGATTGATTATTTTCCCTACATTACATAAGATGATAACCACTTAAAGATGTAAATTACAGCTAGGCCACAAATTATGTACCTGGTGGGACTCAGTGACAGCACTTTGAAAATTGATATTAGTTTACAGATAAATCTGAAGTGAAGTTTTCAATCTATAAACATTTTCACTCACCTTGTATCCGTTTTAATTTTGTAAGCTGTTTAAATGAGATATTTCTGTTATAATTATACAATATATGAATACTACGAAAATTTCAAAGTAAACACTTACTCCACAGCCGTTTTCCTCAGCGAGTTTGGAGTGAGATCAAAGTTGCCTTGGATACGCAGCTGATCAATGATGGCACTAAACATACAATTGCCATCGGGAGTGACATCTTTGATGATGTATCCATTGTGATCAGCTAGTGACTGTAGTGATGCCACGTAACTGGTGTAGGGCGAGACACTATGAGCTATACCACTGCCTGTCAACACAAAACACACTCTCATAAGGTTATGATAATCTACACTGCTGGAATTCAAAATGATACAAAGTAGACGTTTACCTTTCTACGCCTGAGAAATATGTAGTTGTGAATGTCAATTACTGACGTAATCTTGACTATTTTACTTTCACAGAAAAGTTCACTTTTACCCTTTACTGGAATTTGACCGTTACTGGCATGCGACATTTATCTTTCACTCGAATTTGACCTTTACAATTTACCAAACTCAGACTTTACCCATCACTAGAATTTGACCTTTATTTGCATGTGACCTTTACCTTGCACTGCAAATTGACCTTTACCCTTTACTGGAATTGGCCTTTACCCTTTACTGGAATTTGACCTTACCCCTTTACTGTATTATAAGTTAATTGACAAAGTAATACAGTCACATTAAAAAATGACCTTTAACCTTTAACACAGACCAGAAAGTGTGACATATTTACAAATCTCCATGTGGTGACAAAATTACAACCAAATAAATTGAAATACACATTCTTTGTTATCTGCCTAAATTGACATGACCAGGAAGTTCAAATGCAAAGTATGACCTTTGACCTTTTGCAACTTACTCACTTTGTCTTATATATAAATTATAACATCTGGACAATGAGATACACAGAACAAGGTCATCAGTGTGATAAGTATCACTGATGCATACGGAAGTATCAAAAAGGAATTACCAAACAGGAAATCATAGGACCTCAATATTTGATTGAATCTTTTCTAGAAATAATAACTAATGTTGTAAGTACATATCTATTAGTCTCAATATAGGGTTTTACATCACAAAAATGTGGAAAATCCATAGATGGTTGGTATGTTACAACATAAATCATAGATTACAAGACCTATTTCATATATATAGATTACAAGGCCTATTTCATTTGTATAAATTACAAGGCTTATTTCATACGTATAAATTACAAGACCTATTTCATACGTATAGATTACAAGGCCTATTTCATATATATAGATTACAAGGCCTATTTCATTTGTATAAATTACAAGACCTATTTCATACGTATAAATTACAAGGCCTATTTCATTTGTATAAATTACAAGGCCTATTTCATTTGTATAAATTACAAGGCCTATTTAATACGTATAGATTACAAGGCCTATTTCATATATATAGATTACAAGGCCTATTTCATTTGTATAAATTGCAAGACCTATTTCATTACAAGGCCTATTTCATTTATATAAATTACAAGGCCTATTTCATTTGTATAAATTACAAGGCCTATTTCATTTGTATAAATTACAAGGCCTATTTCATTTGTATAAATTACAAGGCCTATTTAATACGTATAGATTACAAGGCCTATTTCATATGTATAAATTACAAGGCCTATTTCATTTGTATAGATTACAAGGCCTATTTCATTTGTATAGATTACAAGACCTATTTCATATGTATAGATTACAAGGCCTATTTCATTTGTATAAATTACAAGGCCTATTTCATTTGTATAAATTACAAGGCCTATTTCATTTGTATAAATTACAAGGCCTATTTCATTTGTATAAATTACAAGGCCTATTTCATATATATAGATTACAAGGCCTATTTCATATATAGATTACAAGGCCTATTTCATTTGTATAAATTACAAGGCCTATTTCATATGTATAGATTACAAGGCCTATTTCATATGTATAGATTACAAGGCCTATTTCATTTGTATAAATTACAAGGCCTATTTCATACGTATAGATTACAAGGCCTATTTCATACATATAGATTACAAGGCCTATTTCATATATATAGATTACAAGGCCTATTTCATATGTATAGATTACAAGGCCTATTTCATATATATAGATTACAAGGCCTATTTCATACGTATAGATTACAAGGCCTATTTCATATATATAGACTACAAGGCCTATTTCATATGTATAAGAATTAATAACTTTTCACATTTCCATACATGATTACTATCCTCTAACTGCTAAAGACTCTCGTGTAGCTTGCCCTATCACCTAATTATGTAGCAGGTTCTGTAATTGTCATTGACTCACCTGTAACATTGACTCAACTGCGACACTGACTCACCTGTAATTTTACTGTAGCTGGTTTTGCTACTGACTCACCTGTATCTTGTGTGTAGCTTGCCCTATTCCCTTTCTGTAGCAAGTTCTATTACTGAGATTGACTCACTTGTAACACAGACTCACTTTCAACATTGACTCACCTGTTACAATGACTCATTGTACCTGTAGCTTGTTCTGCTACTGCCATTGATGCACCTGCAATATTAACTCACCTGTAACTTTTTTGTTGTTTTTCCTGTTACTGTCATGGTATTCTTGGTAACTACTATTCTCGTCTTCATCAAACTCTGTTGGGAGAGTTGAGCTGCTCTCCAAAGGTACACTCATCTCATTGGACTTTCTCTTGGGAGGTAGTTGGGTGTTGTGTTCAGACTCTGTGCTGTTAGACTTTGATAATGAAGATGGTTTTTTAAAATTTCCAGAAGGAAGATCCAAAGGTGAATGATCTGGATATTTCAAAGGTGGAAGTTCATGAATTTCCATTGCCTCACTGGAATGAACTGACTGGTTATTACTATTCGGTGGAGCTTCATTTGAAGATAATACCTTATTTGGAATGTTCTCAAAGCCATCAACAGAGCTGGATTTTGAATCAGTCACTATCACACTGCTGAGGTCATCAGAACTAGCATTGCTGTAAGTGTGGCCAACAGTTTTCCTTCCCCTTGTATGTGGGATATTTTGATTCAGTGGCAGTGAGATTTCTACAACATTCTGTTGTGATTCAACTTCATGAAATTTATTTTCAAATACTCCATCCTCCATACTTTTCGAGTCATGATCCATATTTCTTTCTTTAAAACTTCCATCCCTCCAGAAATCATTCCATGCTTCATCAGCTGGTTGCCTTGGTCTCTGATGTATCTTGCTGGATATTTCAGGACCACCTGGTGAAATACTCCAGGCTGCAGTTTTCTCCCTTTCTTGAACTCTTTTGGCACCAGGCAGAGGATTGGAAAACACTGAATTCAGAAATTCCTTATGATTGAATTCAGCTTTACTGTACGAGTGTTTTTTAAGAAGTGTAGAAATTGGGACTTCTTTTATGTCAGCAGATTTAGAAACTGGAACTGCTTTACTTTCGTTAGACAGAACTGGGGCACATGTTACGTTCTCTGTGACAACGTCTACATCTTCTTTGGATTTTTCCAACAGGTTTCTTTCCTCTTCTCCAGCATCATTCTTTTCTGACCTTTCACCTTTCACATTTTGATGTGAACTTTGACCTTGATCATTATTTAAAGAAGAGAGTTTTTCTTCCTTCTCTTTTGACAACTTCTCAACTTGTTCTTCAAGCTCTTTTATTTTCATTTCTAGCTTTTCTCTCTCTTGTTCTTTTGAACGAACATGACTTTCAGAAACCCTCTTGGCAGCCGGAGGAGGAGGCAATTGTGTTGAAGATGAAGTATTGTCGCCAAAGTCACCAAATAACATACTATGAGTACCTAAAGAACTGCTGAACTGTCTAGAAGCTACCTGAATGGTACCTGAGGCTGAAGGACTGTGTGAAAAACTGAACAGCAAAGCAGCGGAACCCCTTGAAGTCATGAATGGCATTTCTGGACCAGATCCAATTCTCTTAAACATTCTGAATCCATGTCCAGTTGTATTTGAACCAAATCTGGTTTGTTTGTTATCACTGTCATCATCATCATCATCATCAATATCATCCTTGTCCTCCTTTTCATCCATTTTCACTTTGTTTATATTTTTGTTGAGTCACATCAGTCACATCCTACCTAAGTTGTCATGGTGACTAACTCACGTTACCATCATTCCTTCTTTACATTGTACATATTGATTCTTTAGTCATGTGATCACCTAGAAAGGAAGAAAGTCACGAAATAATTAGCAGAAACATTTTTAACAACTTTAGGATCGTAAAATGAAAATACAGTATCAAAGAAGCAAATACACAAAGATCTTTACAATATTACTTATGAAGAATTCAGAAGCTTTTATTCAGGACTGAATAATTTTTAGGATGCTTTTAGCACAACAACTAAACAAATGTCCATGCATCACGAACCTATGGTCTTTAAATGTCTCTATTAATTCCATATTCTAGGGATTGTTTCTAATATCTTGATTTGTGCAAGATTTCAGCAACAAAAAAAAACAAACTTACAACACTTGGTTTAGACAGATGAAGGTTGATGAAGATTATGGAGTTTTGTTTCAATTATGACACTTTTTCAACATTTGTTTCCATGCAAAATATGACAGCTTTTCTTGAGACAGCTTAGTTTTCAAATATGTCTGAACTGTTTTTGAAATTCTTAACCTGCAAGAAAACCCTGGCTTGCTTTAAATTTGCATTCTTGAAAGACTTTGAACAAAATGTATTAATCAACCAATCCTTTTCCTCACAAGAAAAGAAAATTAATCATAGTGCATTATGTAATTCAGGATACTATGAATTGATATAAGATCCAACCTGTCCTGCAAAATAATCTTTGTAAATTGACATTGATGGATAAGTAGCATACAAATGAAAATAAATGAAAAGATCTGAGTTGTATTGTTTCCCTACCTAGGATAGGTTTGTTTTTTAAGAAAAATGGTATCACTTATCCTGTACATTAATGATGGTTTCACAATATTTTGGAAAGATGTCTTACTCAGGGTTTTCCATAATTTCTAAGTAGTAGGCTGTGTAGTGAAAGTAGGAGGCTGGCCTACCGTGTACGTGTAGTCGTGTACAGAACATTATTACGGAACTGGATTGGTGTAGGCAGCCAAATGATCAAAGTAGCCGGTCAAATTGGCCAGCAACCAGCTCTTATGGAAAACCCTGCTTACTCCTATTGCTTTGAATTGCATGAAACAAGACTTCTGTATGTTGTCCAGTGACTTATTGCCACCTGCTACTACAATGACACCCCACATCAAAATGTTCCTAGCTGGTAACAGGACAATACACTGAGCAATAAAAGAACACTGCCCTTGGCAACACAAAAACGAAAGTGCATATTTTGAGTGACCTTACAAAATATGCACTGTACCAATTAAACTTACACAGAAACTCTCATACTTGTCAAAATGACTGGCCTTGAAGCAATGTTGGAAGCATTTCAACAGAGGTGGCCCCATGTTATAATAGACGGAACCGAAAACGAAAGTAAGGAAATACCTGATCGTGTCACAGGTCTATTAGGATATTCCAATATGTGTTCTACTAACTCATTAATGTGTATGTATATTTAAAATGTCGTTGATATGTACAATTATTACCTATAAATGATAAATGTATTGTCGTTAACTTTGAAAAATTACAACAGAATCTAAAATTGAAACCAGGAAGCTGAACAATGAATGTCTAAACAGGCATCACAGATATGTTGGACTGATCTGTTGTACAAAAGTCTACTTCATTATTCATATTCAATCTGTATTATTATCTGAAAAACAAAAATAAATCAGCGATAGGATTTTTAACAGCTTAGGTCCAATTATTGCCCTCGTTGTCAAAGCCACGCCAGGCCTTTACTCCTCTTATATTTTGTTTACTTTTGTATTCGCAAATAAGTGTCACTTTGTTTATATATACACTGTAAAGACGAAAAAATACCTGAAAATTATTAAAAGTGCTGCAATCCTCTAATAACGCTGTTGGTCGATCGAATAGACAATCATTTGCACAGGAATTCCATCGCCCTTCTGTCCCAAACTGAAAGTTGAAATTTACGGATTTTCCATCCACATGTCTGGATCAGAGTTGCGTTTGCATTAAATATTGGCATAGTAGATAACACGCTTTCAAGCGTCACATCGATGCATGAAACATCAATGACGTCAACATTGGGGAGCATATCAAAGGCCAATTTCAGAGTAAAAAGCTTGTGTATTCGGACTTCGACTTTCCTTTATTTTTTTCGCGATTCCTGCGTCCGTAACTTTTTTTCACATTTTCTTCTGGAAAACCCCTGAACCGATCTTAATGATTCTTTTCTTGTAAACTTTCCATGGCCAAAGATGAAAAAAAAAAAACAAAATAGTTAATTATTTGGTTTTCATCCCCCAGGAACGGGACCAAGAAGGAGTCAAATTGTTGAAATTTCAGTTTTTTTTTTCAATACCCAAATGTGGTAGGATCAAATACTGTTCTATTGGCCGAAGGGGTCTTGCATTTCCCCTTGAGGACGGATAAAGTTTACTGAAGTTTAAGAAAATTACATTTTGAGCATTTAAAAAAACAAATTGCTGGACAGTCCGATGTTATATAAAAAAAGTCAGATTTGTCTGGTTTATAAAACATGAATGAGGGAGGGAAAGGATTGAAGGCTTTGGTTTGGTGATGTGGAAGTTGAGAACACAGGACGCATTACTAGTCTCAGCTTGTGGATATTACTAGAGCGAATACTGTCCGGTAATAGTGAACGAAGGATCGCTAGTTCGAACTCCAGTGGGTGTTTTTCATTACTCCTCAAGTTCCTATTACAATTGGGTGTCGGTGACCTCTCCGAGGGTAGAAGCTATGTAAGATTGAGATGTTTCCGTGGAGAAATTGAACCTGGGTTGTTGTTGTTGTCTCCGGAGTAGAAGACTGTGGAAGTGAGAGTAGTGTAGAAGTTGAGAGTTGGCTAGTAGGAATATCCATTTAGTCGAGCGATAGAAACCGAGAGTTGTCTTTCATTACTCTGCCGTATTACAGGTCGTGTTTTTTTTTTTAAAGACAAGCTCTAATACTATATATCTGCGTTTATGGCGGAAAAGCCGCGAAAAATAAAGTAAAAATTTGGAAATATCAGTCTATTTGCGAAAGATAATGAGAAATGTGATGTGTTAAACACGTCTCTGATTTGTCAAATTATTTATGAGCTTAGGCTTGCTGGTTTGTACTCCTTATTACTGTGTATTACAATACATATTTATATGTGGATGTAATCGCCACAAAGAGTTATCGTTCCTCACAGGACCGACAACTGAATAGTTTGCGTGTAGCTATATATAGATCACTAAAAACAATTAATTAATTTTCATACTTCACCGAGCATGCACATTATTTAGGAGACAGTGTATATCAGTACTGAAGATGAGGACACTGTTAATCGTATGAGGTATCTGAGAACATACTGGAATGATATTGCCATTGAAAAATGATAGGATTTCACCCCCCTCTTTTCGGACGTTTGGGTATTTCGGCCAATATTTTACCATGTTGTTAATCTTGCTGTCGGCGGACTTTGCCCTTAGATCTTTGTTTTTCTATACGACCCTTTAAATATTTTAACAACAATTGCCAATTGTGAAATTCGGACTGAATTTAATTGACATTTGAGGATTAAGATAACAAGCTTGGAGATGTCAAGAAACAGACGTTATTTATCAATTGAGAAAACATTTTATGGATGGCAGTGTTTAAGTAGTTTTGGCATATATATATCTAGATCCAGAGTAAGCTGTGGTGTGTGTTTTATTTAGAGCAAAGTTTAACACGCATACACACACACAGAGACACACACACACACCTACACACACACACACCCTTACACACACCCTCTCACACACACACAGACACACACACACACACACACACACACACATATATACATAATACAGGGAATTAGTGTATATATAAAGAAATATGATTTTTTGTAAACTCATGGCATGTCTGTTATAACCTGTAATATATAACAACTTGTACGCAAGACTCATTGTATGTTCCAAGTAAGAATTTTATGTGTTTACATGTATATGGAGGTCAGCTAAACACTCACATACAATGCATATTATTTGCTTGATGAGAAAAGTTACCAATGTTGAGAGACAAAAAACAATACAAATGATAATGACAGTATCACACAATACATAAATATATTTATACTTACATTCTAATATGAATCCCCAGTGAGTTTTTCTTAGTCTGTATTAAAAGAATGTACAGTGTTCTGTTGTGTGTAACTTGCACAAAGGACTGATCCAGTGACAGGAGGCATTGACAGACTTGTCAGTATCTACAAGTGCTGATTGACAAGTTGTTGGCCTTATATTGAAGAAATTAAGCAGGGATGTCCTTTTTCAGCTGACTGTTTAAGGCTTTGTACCCAAAGACTGGCATCATTTGGTCAGTTTTTGTGGAAGAGGTAGTACTCTTAACATAAACAAGGCAAGTGACTTTTGCAAACTGGACAAAAGTTCTGAAAGAGCAGTGATTCAATATTTACATAAGAAAGATCTAGTACCTAAGGATATCCATACTGATATGGTAGCAACACTAGTGAATGATGCCCCTTCAAATGCTACATTGAAGAGGTGGGTGGAGCCTTGGGGATGGCGCCTGTCCTAGAAGGTCTGTCGTTGTTGCAACCCCAGAAATAGTCTATGAAGTCCATAATATTGTTATGGCTGACAGGCAAGTTACAGAGAGATATATAGCCAGTAAAGTTGGGATTTCACAGAAATGAGTACCTTGTGTTCATTTCGTTCTTATGGCAATTTTGTGATGAGAAAGCTCTCAGCCTGTTGGGTACCAAGACTTCCAATAGTTCAACAGAAGCACACCAGGCGGACTTTGTTGCATATGCTTATCCGCGCCTTTTAGAGGCAGATCCTGCTAACTTTCTGCAGAGGTTTGTGACTATAGATGAAAAGTAGGTCCATTATTTCATCCCAGAGGCCAAACAAAAATCAGGTGATGACATCATACATACAGTGGAGTATACTGTGATATCATATACTTATTACTCATCAAACATTATAAAGTGATCAAACCTCATTACACTGTCACTATATAACTACAGATTGATGAAAAACACCCTGCAACGATAGGGATTCGAACTAACAACCCGTAAGTTTCTAGTTGGACATTCTACAGTTCGAATAAAGGGAAATTCCTACTAACTGAGGCTAGTAAGGTGACCTATACTCTCAACTTCTACACTACTCCCTCCTTCACAAAGTCTTTGACTTCGAAGACAACAACCACCCAGGTTCAATATCTCTAAGGAAGCATCTCAATCTCCTTTAACTTCTACCTATGGAGTGGTCACAACACCAAATCTGTAATAGGAAGGAGTAATGAAAAATAAACCTGCCACCACTGGGGTTCGAACTAGCGACCATTTGGTCTCTAGCCAAACAATCTACCGCTCGACTAAAGGGAAATTTTCACTAGCAGAGGCTAAAAGGAGACCTGCACTCTCAACTTCTACACTACAAAGGCTAAGCTGATGGGACAGTCATCCAAATATTCATCATTCTGTCTTGCATGAGATGAAATGAACAAAAAAAAAAGATTCATGGATATATATTGCCTATCATGTATTTATAAATTATCACTAAATTAAATACAGCTTTATACATATAGTGTACAATGTATTCTTACACAGGAAGTAGATTGTCAGATAACAAGTACTCATTGTATCACATACAATATTTTTGCCAGCAGGAATGACTTTATCTTTCAATTTTTCCTGGACAGAAATCAGATTACCAGCAATAGTCTCAGAGGTCATGAGAATCACATGGGTCAAAGAGATTATACGGTCACAGAGGTCACTGTCTCTGATTTGTAGTGGAAGACTGACTTCTGTAGTGAACATCCATAGCTTTATCCAGAAACCAGCATGAATACCTGTAACGGTTGTGGTGCTGCACACTTAGCGAGACAGGATCAGCACACCTGTAGTGTGTGTAACAAGGTAAACATGTTTACTATTTTAAGTAAGAGATGATTTTAAGCTGTGATTTACAGCCATTGAACCAATCAAGTTAAATCTTCGATACCTGTATATTATATCATTTAGACACTGCTTGATGTTTAAATCATGACCGAGCGCCTGTTACAAGTCAGCGGTTCACCAAAATGTCTTACGTTTGGTGTAGTAGCTACTATACATACAATGTTCCTAAAATTTTTACCAACATTTAGAAAAAAAAAATTTTTGCTAGGTTTATTTTCATATTATCATTTTAAAATAAAGATATATACAGTGAGATAAAATGTTTTAGAACATCTGGGTGGTCATGTAAAACAAATGAAAGTGCACACTTTCCATTTTATTAGGAGTCGTGATTATGTAGTTTTCGCTGGCATTAAAACTCCCTGTGCTCTGCAATTTGGACCAGCATGTGTAAACAGGAAGTTACTGTTCCCTGTGTGATTAGCTACATAGTATCAGTAAGTATTCAGTTTAAAGAGTCAATAATATCAATGTGTGTAAATTGTTTTATCATTGTTCTGATTAGTAAGAACAAAATGTTTGGCTGCAACATCTTACATTATTTTTCAGGTGTTGTGTGTTTCCTGTGCAGAGATGCAAGAAAAGCTACAGTTTATGAGTAGTGATAACGAACTGTGTAGAGGAAATAACTGTTCCCTGTGTGATTTGCTACATAGTATCAGTAAGTATTCAGTTTAAAGGAAGTTACTGTTTCCTGTGTGATTTGCTACATAGTATCAGTAAGTATTCAGTTTAAAGGAAGTTACTGTTCCCTGTGTGATTTGCTACATAGTATCAGTAAGTATTCAGTTTAAAGGAAGTTACTGTTCCCTGTGTGATTTGCTACATAGTATCAGTAAGTATTCAGTTTAAAGGAAATAACTGTTTCCTGTGTGATTTGCTACATAGTATCAGTAAGTATTCAGTTTAAAGGAAGTTACTGTTCCCTGTGTGATTTGCTACATAGTATCAGTAAGTATTCAGTTTAAAGGAAGTTACTGTTCCCTGTGTGATTTGCTACATATTTGTTACTGTTCCCTGTGTGATTTGCTACATAGTATCAGTAAGTATTCAGTTTAAAGGAAATAACTGTTTCCTGTGTGATTTGCTACATAGTATCAGTAAGTATTCAGTTTAAAGGAAATAACTGTTTCCTGTGTGATTTGCTACATAGTATCAGTAAGTATTCAGTTTAAAGGAAATAACTGTTCCCTGTGTGATTTGCTACATAGTATCAGTAAGTATTCAGTTTAAAGGAAGTTACTGTTCCCTGTGTGATTTGCTACATAGTATCAGTAAGTATTCAGTTTAAAGGAAGTTACTGTTCCCTGTGTGATTTGCTACATAGTATCAGTAAGTATTCAGTTTAAAGGAAATAACTGTTTCCTGTGTGATTTGCTACATAGTATCAGTAAGTATTCAGTTTAAAGGAAATAACTGTTTCCTGTGTGATTTGCTACATAGTATCAGTAAGTATTCAGTTTAAAGGAAGTTACTGTTCCCTGTGTGATTTGCTACATAGTATCAGTAAGTATTCAGTTTAAAGGAAGTTACTGTTCCCTGTGTGATTTGCTACATAGTATCAGTAAGTATTCAGTTTAAAGGAAGTTACTGTTCCCTGTGCAAAGTGTAAATCCATAAAAATGAGGTCAAAAGTCAAAGATAGACAAAGATAATATCAGAAGTGTGGCATGTGATGTTTTTGAGGATATAAAAGTGAATTTTGTATTTTGGTACATGAGTGTATATTGGGCTAGCATGTTTAAATTGAACCAATTATTCTTACTTTTATACATGGTCTTTTCTAAAATGCCATCAATATGTACATTGTTTAGAATGCTTTTTGTAGTGGCATTTAAATATATAAATGCTACTTTTTTGAAAACGGAGCACAGAATTAATTTTATCAACACATCACATATAGGTCTTATGCATTTTCATTGATATTGAACTGCAAGAAATACATTGTTTTTATCGTTCAGTTTTTTTCTGTGCTTACTAATTTTTTAGTTTCATTTTCATCAAACTTTTAGAAAGTGTTTTGAGAAAATAAGAAATTGGGAGATAAAACCTGAAGTGAAATCCTAATCTCATTGGAAGTGGGACCATATATTGATATAGACAGCCTACAAAAAACACAGCTCTAATGTTAGCTCTTTGTGTTTTTGTTTTCTCTCTTTATTCAATATATACAGATTTTTGGAATTGACAGGTATCATATACGTTAGTCAATGCTGCATGGAAAATATTATGATACTGTATAGTGGTTATGACAATATCATATCTGATATTTTTACGATAAACATTTAACTTTTGTAGACAGCGGAGAACATACAGATTCCAATGTTGAGGAAATTCAAAATTGTGAGGAAGCAAAACAGTCAATATCTGAAACTAATTCAGTTTCTGAAAGTGGAAATAACATTACTACTGATGCTTGTGTGTCATTAGAGGACAATAGACAAATGGATACACCAGTCACAACATTGGACGAGAGTCAACTGATGAAACTAGAGGCCAGTGCTGATAGATGTTGTAGTAAGACAATGACTGCAGGTCAAGGTGACAAGCTCAGCACTAAAGATCAAGGTGACAAGCTCAGCACTAAAGGTCAAGGTGACAAGCTCAGCACTAAAAGTCAAGGTGACAAGCTCAGCACTAAAGGTCAAGGTGACAAGCTCAGCACGAAAGGTCAAGGTGACAAGCTCAGCACCACACATCAAGGTGATGGTCCTGAGACATCAATAGATAGGGGTGAAAGGGACGTAACAACTGGGACAACAGTCAATCAGCGAAAACCTCCAATAGGTAACCAGACAAAATATCAACTCTTGACCTCAAACTCATAATCTCAAATAGGTAACCAGACAAAATATCAACTCTTGACCTCAAACTCATAATCTATGATGTAAAATGGTGTTGCGAAGAAATATACATTACTAAAGAGAATAAGTGAAAAATCTCTTCCTCATCTCTGTAAAGATAAAAATAATATGTACAACATTCACATAGCACACTACTATTTCATTTGCAAATTACTGAATGTTAAATAGTTTTGCTCAGTGGCAGGAGGAATGGAATACATATACCAATAACAAATTGCACTCCATTAAACCTGTTATCGGTGAATGGTCTCCAGGCTATAAAGACAACCTCTGAGACAAAGTTGCCCTTGCATATCTTAAGACATTGTATGTATGACCCATCTGAATTCAGATGGGTCATACATACTTTACACATTCATATATGTTGAAAGGCGAAGATAATCCTCGTTGCATAGGATGTGATGAGCCATTCACTGCTAAACATTTTTTATTGGACTGCATTGACCTTCTGTTTACTTGAGAACGTTTTTTATCATAGCATTACATGTCTAAAAACCCTTTTTGAAACTGTTGAGATTTGTAAAATTCTACATTACATGAAAGATGTTGGTCTATATAATAAACTATGACGTACCATTTTAATCTTTTGTGTTAGTATACCCATTTATGATTTTTAGCATTTGTCTTTTACGTTTTGGTTTATTTAATGTTATTTCCTTTTGGATCGCTGTGTGTTTTACCGTTTGATGACCCTAATGACCTTTTATGTGTTGACGGGCCGTTAAGATTGCAATAATAATAATATTCAGTTTTAGCACACTCCTATCTAATATTCAAGTTTTAAATATGAAATGTACAATATATACAGGTGTATACCTTTTCAGGTCATCTTACCTGGTGGGTTAGGATGACTTAAAGCCATTCTCTATACCACCCCCTATTCTATAACTATTTACATTTCAAACTTCCTTCCAAAATAGAACAGTTGGATTTAGCTGAATCTTGCGTGAAGTGGTCCCGCGATTATCCTCACCAAGTGCTGGAGCCACTGTTTCTACACATTATTTGTGTATCTATTGTTTTTATTTTCTCCACCAATGGGGACTCACTATTCAGAACTGTGAAAAAAATATCTTTAACAAAGTATAACTGTCAAAATCCAAGATGGCCACACTGGCCATTTTGTTTTTCTGAGCAGTGCCAGAATGGAAAATGCACTGTTAGGGACTAAGTGAAGTCTAAGAATGGAATAGGAGAAAGGTTCATTCAGCACTTTTCAAGAAATTAATAGTGAAACAACATTGAAAATCTAACTTGGCTGCCAGTTAGCCGTTCGGTTTTTCCAATTAGCCTGAAAATTAAACATGCACTACTAGGACCCATAGGGAACAAACATGAAATCTGAGAATGAAGTAGTTATTAAGTACGCAATAACAAATGATGACTGTGAAAATTCAAGATGGCTGTTGGCAATCGGTGGCCATTTAATTTTTGAATCAGTAGCATAATTTATTATGCATTTAAGAAGCATGGGATTCTGTTTGATATCTGTTTCTTTATCTCCTTTGCAGCTATGAACATCTCTAATTACTCTCTGCAGTCACATTTCAGGACTGCGTTTAGAATTATGTTAAATCTTCCTAATAGAAAGACAAGACTAATTCAACCAATTTGAAAATTGTATTTATTTATGTATTTTTTTTTTTTTAGAAAATCAACCGACATGTGTCAATTACGGCTTTATGAACCAACTATTCTCACAGAGTGAATATAATGAATATGATCGCAAGATCAAATCAATCAAGCGTAAAGGCAGGGGCCATGTTATCGAAGGAAATGGTGATGTTGTAATGTTGTGTAGTGAGGACGACAAGACAGCTGCTTATAGGTATTGTGAATATTTAAAGACACAGAAGATGCCAGGACATCCAGGTGTCGCTGTGAAGGCCAGTTTGTTGGACAACGTGGTACCATTTGGAGAACCAATTTTTGCTGGAGCAGAAAGAGCTATAGCAAAGTTCACGTTTGTATTTTTGTATGTGTCAAGACTTTCTAGTATAGATAAAATATATTCTTTTTTTAAGGAGATATGTCTCTCAGAGACAGTAGAGAAGTTTGAAAAGGAAGGATGTTTGATTATTGTTTATGCTGATGATGTTCGTCCGTGTGATATTCCACCAAGGTTCAAACTGCTCAACAGTGTCTATGCAACTGATCAATCAAAAGACACAGAAAATGCTCTTATCAAAAAACTGGAAAGCAAATTCTATCTAAGAACTGCAAGAGAGAAAAGGTTTGTCGATGAATGTTTTGCTGATTAAATTTGAAAGCATATTATAATGTTGTACAAAGGTATAATGCTGTTGAATTCCAGACCGTTAATTTCGGTAGCTGAAATTTATTTCATTAATCATTGACATGTTAATAATTTCAACTGCAGGATAAGTAATTATTTTTCCATATGCATATATGTTTTGATTTTCTTTTTAAATGCATACCTAGCCCAACCACTCCTCTCCCCTCTCTCTCTCTCTCTCTCTCTCTCTCTTTTCTTTCAGTATCTTAGTATTAATAAAGAATACCTCTTTCTGCAGTGTTTATTTTTTCACTTCTGTGGAAAGTATGAAGATGTGTGTGAGGATGTATGTACAATGTATGTTTGTTACAGTATTTTTGTTAATATGGTGATTGTGTTGATAATATTAATGCTGAGAAAGTGTATGAAGAAGTGAGGGTGTGAAAAATGTATGTGTGAGGATATGATTGATGAAAAATTATGATTATATTGATTGACAAGTATAAATTGAAGAGTATGATGTTGTTAATGATGATGCTATTGATAATGATGATGACGATAATGTTGATAATGATGATGATGATGGAATGATGGATGACTACGATGTTGGTGTTGATGATGATGATGATGATGATGATGATGATGATGATGATGACTGTTGATTGTGGTTGATGATGATGTTTGAATATGGATGATGATGATGATGATGATGATGATGATGATGATGATGATGATGATGATGATGATGATGATGATGATGATGATGATGCTGATGACTGGTGATTGTGGTTGATGATGATGTTTGAATATGGATGATGATGATGATGATGATGATGATGATGATGATGATGATGATGATGATGACTGTTGATTGTGGTTGATGTTGATGTTTGAATATGGATGTTGATGATGATGATGATGATGATGATGATGATGATGATGATGATGATGATGATGATGATGACTGGTGATTGTGGTTGATAATGATGTTTGAATATGGATGATGATGATGATGATGATGATGATGATGATGATGATGATGATGATGATGATGATGATGACGATGATGATGACTGTTGATTATGGTTGATGATGATGTTTGAATATGGATGATGATGATGATGATGATGATGATGATGATGATGATGATGATGATGATGATGATGATGATGACTGGTGATTGTGGTTGATGATGATGTTTGAATATGGATGATGATGATGATGATGATGATGATGATGATGATGATGATGATGATGATGATGATGATGCTGATGACTGGTGATTGTGGTTGATAATGATGTTTGAATATGGATGATGATGATGATGATGATGATGATGATGATGATGATGATGATGATGATGACGATGATGATGACTGTTGATTATGGTTGATGATGATGTTTGAATATGGATGATGATGATGATGATGATGATGATGATGATGATGATGATGATGATGATGATGATGATGATGCTGATGACTGGTGATTGTGGTTGATAATGATGTTTGAATATGGATGATGATGATGATGATGATGATGATGATGATGATGATGATGATGATGATGATGATGATGATGATGCTGATGACTGTTGATTATGGTTGATGATGATGTTTGAATATGGATGATGATGATGATGATGATGATGATGATGATGATGATGATGATGATGATGATGATGACTGGTGATTGTGGTTGATGATGATGTTTGTATTTGGATGATGATGATGATGATGATGATGATGATGATGATGATGATGATGATGATGCTGATGATGATGATGACTGTTGATTGTGGTTGATGATGATGTTTGATGGATGATGATGATGATGATGATGATGATGATGATGATGATGACTGTTGATTGTGGTTGATGATGATGTTTGAATATGGATGATGATGATGATGATGATGATGATGATGATGATGATGATGATGATGATGATGATGATGATGACGATGCTGA